TAATTAAGTAATTTGTATTTATGTACAAATCTAATAGTCAATTTGGATGTGCTCATTGAGGTGTGTTTAATGCTTGCTTTCACTTTGGCTAATTGAATGCATGATCTAATTTATTTATAAACATGTGCGCATATGCATAATAATTATGTTTCAAATAAAAGAAAAAATAAAACACATATGTGCATAATTAGATTTTATTTAAAATACCTTTTAACTTGGTTTTAATCTTTTCTTTATAGTTAGTGGTTTGTAAACGGTTCGATTTATAAGCGATTTGGTTCATAAACAGTTCGGTTTATAAACGGTTCGGTTTATAATTAGTTCGGTTTATAAACGATTCGGTGCAAACGGGTTGCGGTTTATTAACGGTTCGGTGTAAACGGTTTTTATGCCAGTTCAAACGGTTTCGGGTTAGAAAAGGTTCGGTTCATTTTCGGTTCGGTTTTCTTTCAGTTCGGTTTAGATTTGGTTCGGTTCTTAAACGGTTTAACGTTACTCGGATCGGTTCGGTTTCGGGTTTACTAAAATGCAGTTCGGATCGATTTTCGGTGTCAAACACTCGGTTTTTAATCGGATCGGTTTGAACCGGTTCGGTTCGGTTTTTGACAATGCTAATCTTTGTGTTTTTCTTCTTACATTCAATTGTTTTGGTATTAAAGTTTGCTTTGCTACTAATATTGGACAAGGTTTTCAATTACTCGTATTAGTTGATTTTCAGACAATTGAAACATTTTCGTATATATTATTTCTTTTTTGAAGTAAAACTTGATTACTTCGTATTATTTATTTTAGGAAAAATTTGCCGCAACAATACCAACTATTACAAAGGTACGTGTGTCAGCACAACCTTTTAAGAATGCGGTTTGCATCACAAACTATGTACTTGGGTGCACACCAACGGATTAAGATTCCATGGGAAAAGTGGAATCTTCATTATTTTATTATTGTTTAAATATTTCTTAAACTTACATGATTTCCCATTACGCATGACTAAGTTAGCCTTTACTTTTATTAAATATTTTTATTTAAACACTTCTTAACCTTCACCATTAAAATGAATTCCTTCAAAAAGTTTTCACTATTATTTTCCTTTGTTCGCTTCATCAATTACGTTTTTTTTAATACATCGATCTCATGCAATTGATTTAGTTATTACCTCTCCCCCTCCACTAGTCATATACTAAATTGATAAATAAAAGAAAACCATCCGAAAACCATTTATTTCCTTTAAATTTTAGGATAACAAGTCTATTTCTAACACCATGCAAGCCCACAAAATGCTTCAAAATACTTAATTCTTCAACAACAACTTCAGAATATGATTTTAGGATAGGCCAAATTGATCCTTTTGGTTTTCAATGTACAGCACTTTAATGGTGGAGTTTGAGAGAGATAGTAATTTAAAGGGAGAAAATTAAATACAGGAAGTGAAAATTAAGACAATCACGTGAGATGTTAAAAAAAGTAACCGAAGAAACAAACGAAGGAAAATAATGGTGAAAACTTTTTGAAAATATCTCTTTAATGATGGAGGTTGAAAAGTGATGTTTAAAGGAAAACAATCAATATGGAAGAAAAGACTATATAGTCAAATGAGATGGAAAATCAAGTAAGATGAAATAAAATAAAAATATATTAAATTATGTATAAAAAGCATTAAAAATATTAAACGAAAATTTCACTTTTCAATGAAATCTGAGTTTAGTTGGTGACATTATGCTGTTATTTGCACCCAAGTGCATAGTTTGTGATGTGAAGTGCACCATCGAAAGGTTATGCTGCTGCACGCACCTTTGTCATATATAGTTAGTGCTATTATTCGGTTTTAATATTAGGTAGGTTGAGTAGTGTTAATTTCGTGTTCAGAATCTCAACACTAACCCAACTTGTTTAATTAAACGTGTCGTGTCGTGTTAACACGTTTAATTAAACGTGTAGAAAATCCTTGACACTAATCCGTTTTTTTCGTGTTCGTTTCTTGTCGTGTTATTGTAATCCCCCATATTTTTAGAGTAAATTATAATATATTTCTTTATTATTCAAACTAATATTTAATTTCGATACAATAATTTATTTTCTTTAAGGAAATGCATAAAAAATAATTTTCAATGTGTACCTAAGTACATTTTCTGTATGTCATTATGTGAGAAACATTTACTTCAAAGAAAAAAAAAATACACATTTGCTTTTATTTTTTAATGGGTTTTTCTATGCAGTAACCTTTTTAATTTCACTTTTCTACGTTGTGTCTCTCAATATAACACTTTTTACACTGTAATTCGAAAATTACATTTAGTTTTCATACAGTAACCTTGTCGTTATCCCGCCATTAACAAATTTCGTTAGTGGGGCCCACTTTCCACTTATTAATATTTTTAATATCGATTTGCGTGTTAAAAAATGTTCCGTTAAAAGTTTTGGTGGCTATTTTGTCCTTAAGGAACCAAATTGAGCTCATATTTAGTAAAAAATAATAACGTAAATGACTCCTTTTTCGTATTAAAAAAATGACTCAATTTGCGTATTTACGTTTTGAATACGCAAAACGAGACATTTACGTTATTTTTTTTGCCAAATTTGAGCTCATTTGAATCTTTAAGGAACAAAATAGCCCTCAAATCTTTAACGGAATATTTTTTAACACATAAATTGGTAAAAAAAATTAATAAGTAGAAAGTAGACCCCACTAACAGAATTTGTTAATGGTGGGATAACGGCATGGTTAATGTATGGAAACTAAATATACTTTGCAAGTTAAAGTGTGGAAAATGTTATATAGGAGGACACAGCCTAGAAAAGTGAAATTAAGAGGGATACCGCATATTTGAAAAACCCATTTTTAAATTTTAATAATTTTAATTGGGTAGAAAGGAGATGTGGCGAAGAGGGTGATGAAAGAGGATGGAGACATGGAAAGCATAAACATTCCCATTTGTTTTTTTTTTTTTTTTTTTTGAACGGAAAGCATAAACATTCCTAGCAGCAACTACAGAGTACAAACACAAACACAGACATATTAAATTATTAATGCTATTTCAATATTTTTTTTATAAAGTAAAATTAAATAAAATAAAGTACAATAACCAATACAGTGAGATTATACTCTAAATGGTGGGCCCAAAAGAATCTGGGCCGATATCCTTATTGCTTAAATGGTCAAAATATCTGGGCCCAACTATTCCAACAATTTTTATTTCTTTTTTAAAAAAAGAAAAGAGCGCGTTGGATAAAATCAACGACCTTTGAATTGTTAAGGCGCCGAAATACGTTAAGACAGTTGCAACTTCTCAACAGTCAACAGCAATATCAAATCATTTGGCTAATTTTCATTGGCCCGTTGATTATTTTTTAAAAAATTCAATACTACTTTTAGTAACCTATAAACTACAATTTGTTACTCCAAAATATTAATTAAATTGATAAAAAAATTCACTTTATAAATTATAATAATGTATATAAGGAATTTGAGGTAAAGAAACAAGTGAAAAATCAAGAAAGGGTTTGGGAAAATAGGTTTATTTGATCAAGTTGAATGAGATAGTTTGGTTGAGATTCTAAAGAGGTTTTAGCCATAACTGTGATAGGTCCAATCTTACATCAACATCTCTATCACTTTCGTATCAACATTGAGGTGGATATTACAATCACTAATAAATGGGATTGATAAGTTCATACTTCCAGTTTTCTACTTCACACGTACACCCATTGAATCCCTACTGGCATATGTGTTGCCTTCCAATCCCTAACTAGGACTCTTAGAAAACCCGATCATCGACCTCGTAGCTAGAACTCCACCCATCATGGATTAGTAAGGGGTGTAGAGGAAGGAATACTTAGTATACTAAAAAATTGGTGATAGTAAGGTAACAATAGTGTGTGTTTTTTTTTTTTTTTTTTTTTTCCCTCTTTTTTATTACAATTTGTCTGCTCATAGTCATAACACTACGAAGATATCCCTTAATACAATCATACACCACAAACTAGTTAAAAAAATGGAACAAAAAATAAGTCACTTTGTATCAAGTATCAACCCTCATGGGTTCCAATACAAATTAATAGTGGGACCAATTACCAAAGAAAACACATAGACAGAACAAGTATGGGGTATGACTAGTAAATAGTGATAAAGTTAGAACTATTAGAAAAGAAAATGTCCCCAATTTTAATTTTAATTTTAATTTTAATTTTTTCCATTTTTTTTTACTCATAGTGGAGCTTTCCCTTTTCTGTTCATTACAAAAATGGACCACAAACCTCATCCATTATAATCTCAATAAAATCTCCTTTCCCATGAACAGAAAATTTTTTAGGGGGGTGGTATGCAGGTTTGGAAGATAAGGTACCACAATGACCACACGTAAGAATATGTTTTGACTGACGTTGGATCATTTTAGATAGACACATCAAGATATCGATCCCTTTATGGAAAATAAAGATGAATCCTATGATTTTGTGACTTCAATAATAGATCTGTTTGTCACATTAATTTAGGGTAGGAATGTAGGATCAAGAGGATTTCGAGGCACAACCAAAGCTCAAAAAGAGGTACAAAATACTCGATATTATTAAGAATAGAGATTCACAATGAGGTTGAAATCTATATGCAAATATAAATTCTAAATAGATGTCATTCATTGGTTCTCCATAATATAAAAAGAGACAAGAAAAAGAAAATCAGTGATTTTTTTCAACACCGTATAAATATAATTACCTATTGGTAGGCTGACAGCAATGAATATTGCCTTGAAACAATATAAAGTAATTGCCTAAAACAGAAAATAAAGTGTTCTTGGGGTGTTTTAGTGCTGCACAGTTTGCAGTCAAATTGTTAGAAAAGCAAGTGGAAAAAAAAGGTAATCAAAGAATCAAATAAAGTTTTTAACAAAAATGTATACATGCAAGTTGCTATATGAGGAAAAATAGCTTTCCCTGTTCAACTGCAAAAGGCAATAAATAATGAGGATGGAAAATAAGAAAATCTAAACATAAAACTTCACAGCTAAAATCGTCAAGCTGCTTCAACAGCAGACATCTTCAACACAAATGAATTTTGAGTATCCAATAAACTTATTTTAAAGGGAATCCGAGATGGGTATCCCGCTATTGTTTCACACTATAAATCAAAGAAAGCCTCACAGCATACAATCGGAGGACAAAATAACAAGGTAAAATATACGTAATGAGTACATGAAATTCGACTAGCTAGTCGTTACAGTTTGTTAAAAGAGGGGGAAAAAACGAACAAAAACACTGATCTATATCTGATATACTATCACTCGCTCTCTCAGTTTTAGTGCACTGATAACTATCTCGAATGAACGTTTTGAGTATATCCCGCAATCTGATTTTACAGCTCAACCAAATACCAAGAACCTAACTTCAAAGGGAAGAAAAAGAAAAAAAGTTCAAGTTTTAAACCTTATCTGGAAAAAAACCTTCTTAACTGCCCTTAACTGAATTTGTATAAAGAGACGAAATCCCTGTTATTATCGTGTGCTGAATTTCCTTATATGCTGAGACATATGAACGAGGGAATGTATAACTCACAATCTTATCACCTGTTTAGCTGGACTTCCTGGATATTCCTAGCAATTACCATCTTCTGTCCAAATCACAGTTTTCTACGCAGCAATTCCTGAGGGAAGTTGAAAGAAAAAGAAATTTTTAAATTTTAGCTTACTATACATAATGCAAGTCTAAATCTAGCCAAAAAAAATTCAACTTGGCATACATTTGAGCAACTGTTTAAAAACATGAGTATAAACCCCAGTTAATCACAAATACGGGGTAGTAAAACAAAATGATTTTAAATAAACTGGCATATGAAGAGAGCCATTTCTTCTAGCATTGATGAAGCTGAAGGATTTTACAGAATTCTATAATATCTATCGCCAAGACAAAATTCAGAACTTTCAAGCACAAACTTCTAGTTCAGAGACTAACATTCATTCATGAAATTTAAAGGAAGAGGGCTCGAATACTTGCATAGTAGCAAGAGTGACTATTCCTATGTCAAACACAATTATGTACGCCTCCCTCAGACCAGAAAGGAAGAGTTGTAGTTGATGTGGATCAAAACAATACTATCTTATCCCATTGAAACCAGAATGTCACAGAGATGGCACGGCCAATCCATGACAAGACAATTCTATGACAATAAGCCTCCTCCATTATCAGGGTGACATTCCTAACCCAGGAGAGTAAGAGACTGAACTGTATAAACCAAACCTTTTGGGTATGTCCTAATCTGCCTGATGTTGAAACTGATTGTTCACTCCACTCATATGACTTAAAAATAATTTTCGGCTTCATGCTGCTATCTTACACTGAAGTAAGGAAATAAAAAGAGGACTAAATATATTCTAGTCTTTTCAGTCAGCCCTAACAAGGTAAGCAATAATATTAAGTAGAATAAATATCTATTGCTGGATATGGAAAGCAATTATACTGTTGAGGCTGAGTACTTCAAAAAACCTAGTAATATAATCCACAACATTCATAAGTAATGCATCACTTCTAAATTCAAAGTGATGCTATCTTTCACTGAAGCTAGAAAATTCCATGAGAAACTTAAGTTCACAGCAAAAGATAAAGCAGACAATATTATTGGACATAGCAAGACAGAAAGAGGGAAGAAAAACTACTCTTATTCTACCCTAATTTTCTTTTAGTTCAATGAGAAGGTTCAGCGATAAAAAGCTATGAGTTTTTTGAATAAAAGAAAAAAAGCATGAAGTTTGTCCAGATATGACACTGCAACTCAAATTTGACCTGAAAGGAGCACAAACTAGGTCAAGTTTTGTGTTAGACTGATGAGTGAAAGATCAGTTTTATGTGTTAGGGTACACCAAAATCAAAAGGCATGGGAGTCGAGCTTTAAGACAACAGATAACTATGATCTGGAACAATGATTCTTGGCCATTTGATATTAATATCCTACAATCCCCTAAATTTCTAGCATCTTTACAGGCAGCTTACAAAAACAACCTAAATCTAAGTTAGCACATGAATATTCATAATTCAACTCTCTTTGGTAAAATCATAAATTGCGAAGTTTATGGAAAGGAAGGGAAATTAAAGAAGTTTACCTCTACTTGCTTGTCTACTTGACGCACTATAGTTTCCAATTAGACCCTCAGAAGTTCTTGATGCAATATCTGCGCTGCCTAAACCAAAGCCAAATGAACCAGATCCATCAAGCTCAGGAGAAGTAGAACGCCATGTTGAATCACCATACCCTGACGTACCACGATATAGGTCACCATATGATGTATCAAAACCACCTGTTGATGCTGCAAATGTAGATGGTGGTGCAACATCAGTGTTATGTGTTCTTCCATAGCCTCCACCGCTCAACCCATAACTTTCACCAAAACCATACCCGAGATTCCCACTGCTATATCCAGAACCATTACCCCCACCTTGGGATGTTGTAGGAGATGTACCCCAATTGGCTCCACTGTTACCAAACGAGACCCCAAAATTTCCACTACCAGATCCCAGAAAAGCACCAGGACTGGGGGGATTTGTAGGATTGTTAAAAGATCCATTTCCCCAGACATTTCTTGCTGTTGAATTTGCCAACGAATCACCCCTTGTATTACCAACATTATATCCGATTGGAGTGTTGTACCTGTTTGAGTTGCCACTATAATAAGGTCCCAAAACACGACCATAACCCTGGTTGTTGCTGAAATTAGAATTGGCACCGTAGTTAGCACTTAACCCTGGCTCCATATTCATATTCATATTCATACCCATCCCATATCCAGGATTGCCAAAAGGTGGAAGCCCAGTTCGACCAGTAACAAGAGGATTAAGTCTACCATATCCAGCAATAGAGTTAAGATTGTAGCCTTGAGCATAGTTGTTAATGAAGTTGCTAGCCCTACTCATGCCATAATTATATCCTACTACAGGGCTGCGACTAGGGCCTGGAGACATCTCTTTAGGTACAGCTCGCTTAACCTCAACCATTTTTCCATTAAGTTCATGGAAAGTTCTATGCAACACCCTATCAACAGCATCTTCTGAATCGTAAGTAATGAACCCAAACCCTCTTGGCCTTTGGGTGTTGTGATCATACATTACCACAACATCTGTAATAATACCGAATTGATCAAAGTACTTCCTGAAGTCACTCTCGGTAACTGTTGATGCTAAACCTCCTACAAATATCTTTTTGGTACGTCCAGGACCGGGAGATCCTTGGATCATATTATTGTTTCTACTCAGAATTTGCTGATCATCCCTTGGGACTGCTTTCTTTGCTTCAACCTAAGCCAAAAAGGTCAAAGAGAAACAATTTTCATCAAAGATCATGTCAAAGTCAATTTAAACATCTAGTTAGCATGTCTGTACATTACTCATTTCAAGCTACACAAGTCGCAAACTGACTAATCAAACATGTCGATGCAAATTAGCGAGGCTATAGCAAGTACTAATGTACTAATGTACATAGCATAATTATTCAACATAAGAGCTAATGCACAATCTAAAATTACATTATCAAGGTATGCAGAACATCAACAATCACAATCAATCTACTCACTGTTCGGCCATCGATCATATGCTTGTCCATCACAACTCTCTCAGCAACAGCAGGATCAGCAAAGACAATAAAACCGAAGCCACGGGCACGACCTGTAATTCGATCCCTCATGATCACAGCCTCCACTACTTCTCCATATTGCCCAAAATACTCCTTAAGCCTACTCTCATCCGTGTCCCATGAGATCCCACCAATGAATAGCTTACCAAGATCTGATTCCATTTTTTTTTCCTTCTATTTTTTTTCTGCAATTCAATTTCAACAACATCATCATAAACCTTATAAAGGGTTTTCATTTATTCCCATCATTACCATAAACTCTAAAATGCAATAAAATTAAGCAATCATATAATGCAAACATCAAAATTCAACCTAAAAATCAAAATTATACCGCTAAATTGACTAATAATAGATCAAAATCATCAAAATTCAAATGCCCAACTCAGGAAACGACCAATTCAATGAAATTAAAGGCAAAAAATAGACTAAATCGACATCAAAACCAAAAATTAAATTTAAAAAATTTACCTCTTTTTTTATATGAAATGAGCAGAACCCAGTATAGAATTCTGATCAATGAAAAAGTGGGATATTGCCAATTTAATCCAGGGACATCGGATCGTGTACAAATCAATCTAGGATTCCTGAATCAATGAGAAAATAAATAGAAAATAAATAAAACAAAGAAAAACCCAGAATTAATTATGGGAAATGAGAGAATTAGAGAGAGAAAACAGACCGATTGAAAGGAAACCCAGATGCGAAAACTAAGATCTAAGAAGAGGAATGATAAGGAAGAAGGAGAAGAGAGGATGAGGTCATCCTCTACAAGGCTCTTTCTTTCTCTCTTTTCTCTTCCCCTTTTTCTATATTTCTTTGGTTTATTCCACCCCTCTTTTTTTTATTAATTTTTTTTTTTCAAATATTGGATTGGTAAAAATAAAAAAAATTTATAGAAAATTGAGATTTAGATCCTACACCCGACCCATTTAGATTGATTACCATTCAAAGTAAAAGAACACATGAAAATATGAAATACTTATAGGTCATAAAACTTATAAAATTATTTAAATCCCCACTACAACTATTGTGAGGGAATTGGAATTTAACCACCCAAAACTGATCCCTGAATTCAGATTAGTCCAAAAAGTGAATCGAGTGGAAAAAAAAAAACTTATAAAATCATGCTCCAATTGTACTTTATCACTTTATTTTTTTACTTGCACTATTTGTTGTTTTATGCTCACCAATGTTTAAATCGTGAATTTCTTAATTATTTGTTGGTAAAATTATGAAAAATTACGGAGTGATTTTAAGAGCATATATTAAATTAAACTAATAAAGTTAGTTCCACGTGATTCTACATGTATATTTTTTTATAAATTTTAAAAGTGTATTTTATGGTTAAAGAAAAGTAAGTAAATAATACGGAGTACACAAATTCAAATGATACAAATTTAATCACAGAGGTATCAAATATTCATTCATAGTAGAACATAACATGAAATAACCTACAATAGTACTTTATATGATTAAAAAAAATACTTTGTATATTAATTAAAAAAATAAAAAAAATAAAAAATATATGCAACTTATTGAGTTATTGGTCTAGCCTCACAATTTACAAAGGTGGTATTGAACAAAATAAAAAACATATACTATATAAATTGTTGATTTTAAGGGTCAAGCAATCTCAGATTATCGTAGTGTGCAAGAGAATATTTGGAAGGGTCGTGCTAATGCGCAATAGTACTACAGTAGTTGGAAAAAAATATTATGGAAATTACATTTTTCTTTTTAATTAGAGGTATCTTTAGATGATTAAATTAAACAAGTATATTACATAATAACGACAATAAAACTCCATTACAAAATGTTCTTTTATATAATACTAATTTGCTTGTGAGTTTACATATGTAACAAGTTTTTTTTCTTTCATCAAACTAGATTTATAATAATGGTTACAATCAAATCGTAAAACAAAATAATTAATATATAACCATTATTAGAACAAAATAATTAATATTTAACACGCTGTTCTACTCCTCTCTGCCCTGTTTTTCTCTTCTTAAAATTAATAATTATTAATAATAATAATTATTAATATTTAATAAAAAATAATAATAATAATTATTAATATTTAATAATAATAATTAATATTAATAGATAATAATAATAATAATAATAATAATAATTTATAATAGTAAAAATAATTAATATATAATATTAATTAATAATAATAAATAATATTTAATGATAATAATTAATATTTTATATTATTTACACATTTTTTAATGTTATAAAAAGAGTAAAAAAAATCTTAAAAAATCAAATAAGAAGAAGAAGAAGAATTAATGATAATTATGCGATAATAATAATAGTAATAATACTAATAAAATAATAATATTATTAATGATAATAATAATAATTATTATTATTATTATTATTTTGAAAATCTGCTCTGCTCTGCCCTGCCCTGCTGAAATCTGCTCTGCCCAAAAGCTCAAAAGAACAGGGCCTAAATTGTTGGGCCAAGTGATTTCGACCTTTCGCATAGAGTCAATTTCAAATACAATTATGTCTATATATGGTAGGAAGTATATTTAAGCAATTTTGGATCAAGTAATTAGAAATGAATTACTTCAAGATCAACTTACGCTACCTCTGATATAGTTTTATGTCATTAGGAGTGCTATGTAGATAAGGAAACTTCAAGGATAATCCGACCCAAATCTTTAAGATTAACTGGCAGGTGAAAGGGAGATAAGGGAATCTTAACCATAAATAATTACAACATATAGGAATCAAATCTTTAACCTCAATGACAATGTTATATGTTGATATCTATATCAATTAATTATCAATATCACTTGATTTACATTCTACTTAGCTCAAGCCAGTCTAAGTGATTGGCTGAATACCTTCCCTTTCCTCTTCTTTGGCTGAATACCTTCCCTTTCCTCTTCTTTCTATCTTCTTTAATTTGCTTCTTTTCTTTTTCTCTTTTGCATGGAAAGAGTTGAAATTGTTATAGAGGTAGGTTTTTTGTGTGATTTTACAACAATTCTTACTAAGTTTTTATTTTTTTTTATTTTTTATGTTCGCATTATATTTATAAACCAAGTTAAAAGTACTTTTTGCAAATGTTGAACATAGTAAATTTTGGACTATGGCTTCAATTTATGCTTCGTATTTATTTTATTTTTTTGGGGTGAGGGTTTCATGAATTTTTTTTGCCTTATACCAAGACTATCTTTTCTAGTTTTATTATAGTTGTATGACCCCTAACAATATAAACACTAAATTAGAACAAAAGCTGTATCAGACAACAAAGGCGTCTGTAGCTCAGTGGATAGAGCGTCTGTTTCCTAAGCAGAAGGTCGTAGGTTCGACCCCTACCTGACGCGAACAGTTTAATTCTTTTTTGTATTGTTCTTATTGTTCTAACTTCTAAGTAGTATAATACTGCAAATCTGTTGCATTTTTTACTGTTCTAAGTAAATCAACATTGCATCTTCCAGATTCTTAATCTCTGTTCACTTTTAATTGCACACAGTTTTTAACGACAACAGAGATAGAGAGATCTAATGTAATTTATTTTACAACTTCACAAAAGGAATACGTTTCAGTTTCAAATAAAAAAAAGAAGTGAGGAATTACAAAAGTTTTATTTGTAGTACAATGTACTCACTACATACATGCTTAATGTTCATAAGCACGACTTCAAAAACATAATTATCCACCACTCCGCCAAAGCGCTAACCTTTGAAATATTCTGCAGCCAATAATGATAATAATAATAAATTTAAATGAAGCTACATAACTTCTTCCATTTCTCTAAATCTTATGGAATATTTTGCACTCTTATGCACTATATATACACCTCAAAAAAAACCTACAAGTTATTTATAATCTGTTCATAAGCACCTTCACTTTAAGCAAAACGTCCACCAGCACCAGCCTACAAGGAATGATATCAAATGCATCAGTCGATGACTAAGACTACATCTTTGTTTGGTGGATAAGATGTTTGTGAATCTTTTTGAAAAGTTTGTTGTGCAGTGATCCTTTGCGAAATTCTTCTTGGAACTTGTTCTACTCCTTGTTCTGGTGTGGGTATGTCCTCTTCAAGTTTGTTACAAAACTTATCAAAATGCTCAGGACGGAACCAGTTAGATGTCAGCTGCACCATAAACAAAAGAAATGGGAGATGTTGTCAATTGCCATGTTATTACAATCGGATCTTTAGCCTTAGTTTGTATCTCATCTTATGTCCCATTGTAAACATTTACCAATATTTTTTAAAAACTTCCTTAAAGGTGATAACATGTCAAAATTAAGGAGAGATGAGACACAAGATGTGACACGAATTGGGACTAGGATTATATATTTATATGATCTCAACCCATAAATGGAATCTGATAGCGAGCAAGAGAAAAAGAGGGATCGTACAAAATAAGGGTAACCATTTGAAAGGCTAAAATTTTCAGGAGCAGCATCCATAAACAGTTTGATGAAGAACAGAACAAATCTGCCACAGTCAAAGTCATTTGTCTGTTGGGGAACCTGAAAACAATTGTGTTTACATTTATCAGAGTTGCTTCAGCTAAGAATCCATTATCAATATACCGTGTACAACAAAGAGGATGATGATGAAGTCGCAAAATCATATAAATTTAAAGTGAAAGATGTAATAATAAATGTCTGGTTAAGTATAGAATATCTACCTTAGGCATCTTTAGAGGTATTTGGTATATGTCATCTTTGCTTTCAGGTCGACCCTCAGCCTTAAATATATCAAAGACAAGCCTGCAATGCAGTATGTTATATGAAACAATTTCATCAAAAAAACAAATTTCAAATCATTACTTGAACAAACAATAATAAAAATGGGCTAAGACCATACTTCCTCACAACAGGTCCAATAACATCTGCACTCGTCTCAGCAGAATCAAGCAATAAGATGCAACGAGTTCTGGTTTTTGAGCTAATAGCCTCACCAAAATGGCAGAAAATCACTAGTCTCCAGTGATCCCTACAGTAAGGAAAATCAGAACAACATCAACAACTAAACAAGCTACAAAAGCTTCACAATCAGAGCATATTAACCAATAAACTTCTAGGAAAACTTGCATTACAAAATTGGAAAAAAAATTGATGAGGAAAGAAATATGCCAATACATACCAGCAAACAATGGGAACAAAAACATACTTCTTTGAGAAAATGTGCTTCTTTTTTATCAATTCCAAAGCACGAATTCTTCGGGATTTATAAATCAAATAATAAAAGCTATACAAGTGAGCAAATGCAGCCCTCTTGTCTTCAGAGAAACTCCTCCAAATAGTCCTACAAGTACCGGAATCATGCATAAGAACTGTGAAGATTATACAGGATCCAGTTGTTTAATGGGTTAAAAACTTACTCCAAGTTGTCATCAAATTTACAACTACCCATCTTTGAGCGCTTTCCAGAGAGTTGTCTACCTCTGCTCTTTGATTTTTTGAGACACGGTTCAAGCCTCTTCTTTGATGCTTTCGCATCCTTTCTGAACATCACCCCAGTATTGACGTCACAGTAATATGTTACAACACCATCTTCATATATTTCTGTCAACAATAGACGTTTGATCAGTTGCTTCTAGAACTAGGCATGCTAAGTTAGTTGTCACATTCTCCTTACCCCTCTAATTAAAATTATGACATCAATCAGAATATTTAAGTCATTCAATCTTCATCGCATCACTTAACCAAAGTGACAACTTTTTCCTAGCATCCTTAAACATAACTCCGTAGTCCGTATATGATTTATTTCCAAAGGGAGGAGTACATGATGATCAAAGTAAGATTCTAAAGTTAATGCCAATCAACGCAGTCAATAAGAGGATCTCAAGCCTCATCAAGACAGATAACATCATAACAGTCTCCTCATAGACGAATTTTATAACATAACTGACAAGATGAACCTTTAAAAACTCTAGATTTTCTGATAAATAGTGATCGAACTAACCTCCTAGCACAAAACACAAACACATTCATCATTCATCAACAATTTATGCCTATATCTCATACAGACTTTCGGTAGCAAAACGGTTCTATCACTGAACTCTCCACTGCCACTGAGTACAGTCCATGAATAAATTGATATGATATAGATCAATACATCAATATTAGCAGAATACCGCCCCATCTGCAACAAACTAAATACAGTCCATACAAAGAAATTATTGAGTAATTGCTACCCAAAATACACACTTTAAACACATGATAACATTGTCAAGTACAAAGACTTTGTAGAGTTGATAAGTTTCTTTATAAAAATACTTTTAGTCCAATACATTAAATTATAGTATATGAAACATTAAAACCTTATATCCTGAACAAACATTTCTGAAATTTGATCCATGTTATTCAGATTAGATGAAATGATGATCAAATACTCAGCAGAAATGATATACCGGGTTATTCAGATTAGATGAAATGATAATCAAAATACTCAGCAGAAATAATATACCAGTCCTTGAACAAACATCAGTACACATACTCAAGCCTCAAGAAAGAATTTTTCTATAAAGTTCTGACTGTCTGTTAAATTCAATTTTGCACAATTGCACTTCACCAAAATACACTATACAATAATTGAAGGCTGAGAAAGTCTAAATTAATATCCGATGTTGATCAATCTTACACACGTGAATACTAAAACCGCAAATGAATTTAAAACATTGCCAAAACCAAAACATACAAAATTAAAAACCACAAAACACCATAGACATTATTGCAATTCAAGGTTTAAATTGCCAAAGCTTATAATTAAAATCACTTAACAAATACCCATTAAAAAAATCCCAGAAAATTGTAATTTCCAACTACATATTCTTGTAAATTACCTCAACAAAGAAAATTCACATAATTAAACATAAACAAATGCAAACAATGCAACCAAAAAAAAAAAACAACAAATTTAAAAATAAACCTGAAGTGGGTGATTTAGTATCATTATCGTCATTCTTAGTTAAAACTCGAGATTTTCTCTTCCCCATTTGCAAAAAGATCACCCCTTTTTTCTTGGGTATAAACGTATAATAATTTCTCTCCAGCCAATAATATATATTCTTCACTTCAATGGTACAGTATATTTTTAAATGTTCTGTGTTTGGTTAAATTGATAATGAATAAATACTGTGAAATTTAACCCAAAAATAAATTAATTAATTAAATACTGTGAGAAAAACGGAGGAGTAAAAGCCTTACAGCATCAAATCTAGACCGTCCTTTTTTGCTGCTACAAAATTCAAGGGTGTTGATTGGTAGTACAAGTATTAAAAGAGGGTTATCAAAGGTTGAGCAATGAATTTTCCTAAATTGGTAAGTAATACTTGGAAAATGCAACGAGTACTTACTTTACTTACGTTTCTACACTTGCAATTATTTGACGAGTAATCGAGCATCTGTCTCAATATAAGTTTTACCATAAATATATGCAATTATGAATTATTACGTAGTATTAAAGATTATGAAAAAAAAAATATTAATACTCCAATAATAGAATAAGTGTTATGATTAGGGGATTTTTATCCACCAATCACCGTCTGACAAGTGGACCAACCAGGTTCCGCCACGTGTCCTTCACGTAGGCCAATAGGAGCCTGCCACGTGTCAATCACAGATACGTCCTCTACGGACCAATCAAGGCACGCCACGTGTCCACCCATGCCAAATGGGAAAACCGGCCAACAAGGCCCAATCCTGTCTAGAGGCCCGGTCAGCCCTAGGTTTACCCTAAACCTAGAGAGTGGCACGCTTCTCAAGACTATAAATACTTAATTAATCCTCATTAATCCGGGGATCAAGAAATCAAGAGAACATCAAGAAATCAAGAGAACATCAAGAAATCAAGAGAACATCAAGCAATCGAGCAAACATCAAGCAATTAATCTCACCTGAAGAACAGAGAAGAACAGAAACATTACGGAACACTAATAACCGGCTAATCTCGCTAACAAAGCAGATTACCAACATTAAACACTCTCACCTAGAGAGATCTTATTGCTTTAATTTCCGTATTAATTACTCCTTAATCAGGTACTAACTTGATCGTTGGAGGCGGAGCTCTCAGGAGTCTCCGTTATTTTGCAGGTACAGGCGTCCGGTTCCAGTCTCGGAATTGTAACTCTCCCGCAGGACATCAGAAAACCCCGAAACATTTGGCGCCGTCTGTGGGGAGAGTACTTCAGAGATGGCATCCAAGTCTGTACCGACTCCTGAAGAGAGGCGTCCCCTAAACGACCCTCAAGTTCAGTCGGACCATGACACTGAAAGTGAATTTGAAGTTGAAACTCATACAGCTCCAGACGGGACCCTAAGGGCCCGACGTACCCGTCATACCGAAAGGAGGGAACGGGAGCATCTTCAAACAGGAAGCGAGCCAGCAGGCGCACCGCCTGCTCGGCAACAGCCGACTGATGGGTCTGCTCCCATCACAAGGAACGAACTCATGACCTTCATGAGGGACTTCAAGGGAGAGATTCAAGAGTTGATCAACAAAAAGCCGCCTGCTTCAGTCAAAGAGCAGTCGGCCAAGAAACCTTCCACTTCACTGAAGAGGAAGCCAGTTCAAGGGCGAGAGGCGACTCCTCATCCTAAATCCAAGAAGCGGGAGCCACTTGCTCTTGATTTCACAAAATTCCGTTATCCTACGGGAAATAGGAAACCGGTTCGTCATATTCAGGCGGACGGGTCAAAGCAAACGTTCACAGATGCTCGGCTACTGCTAGAGCAGAAGAAGAGTGACCGATTGTCAGAGTCGGCTTCTACTTCAAATTTTCAAGACAGTTTGCGAAATGCCTCGATGAGGCATACTCAATCGTACCATGAGAGTCAGTCAGGCGGCACCTCCCGTCAGTCCGGCTTTCATAGTGCCCAGGCGGTACCAAACTTACCGTTTGTGCCGCAACAACAGTATTTTATGCAGCCACCTCCATTTGGTGGACCTACAGCAAAAAACGTCCAACCTATGGACTGGCAGCTACGGTTGCTTAGACTTGGTGAACAGCCGTCGGCCTTCTCCAAGGAAATTACTGAAGCCGCTCAGCCGGCCAAAGTCAAAAATGTACTAGTAGGCGCCTATGACGGCACTACTAACCCAGAAGACCATCTGATGGCATTCACCAACCTGATGTACCTTCAAGGGTTGGATGATCCCACTTGGTGCAAGTGTTTCCCAACGACTCTCAAGGGAATCGCACAGCAATGGTTCGGCAACCTGCCGACTGGTTGTGTAAACAGCTTCAGGACGCTTGCTTACTTATTTGCCTCCAACTTCGCCATGAACATCCCTGCGAAGAAAACGACCCTTGATTTGGGAACAATTCAGCAGGGCGAGAAGGAGGGGCTTCGTTCTTACATCAGGCGGTTCAACCTGATGAGAATACAGATTCAAGGGTTACCGGATGAGGTAGCTTATACTGACTTTTTTAGAGGTCTCAAAGACGGGTCTACCTTCAAATTTGATTTAGTTCGAAAAAGGGTGGCGACTCTTCAAGAGGCCTTGATTGAAGCAGAAGCCTATATACAGGCGACTGATCTGTGTACAATAAAACAGTCGGATGGGAAAAGGTTCGACAAAAGAGAAGGACGACAGAAACAGTCGTCTAACAAAGATGAGAAAAGAAAAGAGGTCTGGGCGGCTGATTCCTCTAAACAGCCGGCCCAGAAAAAGAAAAAAGAATTCAAACCATACTCCCCAAAGTATGTGTTTAACAAGGATAACCAGTTTATCCTAAAAGAAATAAAGGGACGGTTCTCAATTGAGAAGCCGGTCCCCATGAAGGGTTCTGCAAACAACCGGAACCAAGACAAAATCTGTGCTTATCATGATGACGTTGGTCATCACACCAATGACTGCATCAGTCTCATGCGGTACCTAGATCGCTTGGCTGAGCAAGGTAATCTTGACACTTATGTCAAGAAATCTACGGGGAACACTTCCTCAAAAAAGCAGTCGGCCAAAAAGAATCAACAGGCCGACAGTTCCGATACAGATGATGCAGTCGTCTACACCATTGCAGGCGGCTTCTCAGGAGGCGGCCCCACTATTAGGGGCAACAAAGATAATATAAGGCGGTTAGATGTAAATTCCGTTCACCAAGAACGGCCGTCCAAATATTAGGGGTGGGACTTCGGTCTGGCAGTTCGGTTTGACCTCGGTTTGAGTCGGTTTCGGTTTGGAGCGGTTCGGATTGAAACGGTTTAGTTTAGCAGGCGGGTCGGTTTGGTTCGGTTTGGGTTAGTCACGGCTCGGTTTGGTTTCGGTTTATTTCTTTGCGGTTTAAATTCGGTTTGGGTCATAAGCGGGTCGGTTTATAAACGATTCGGATTATGTCGGTTCGGTTTGATACGGGTCGGTTTAAGGGGCGGGTTTACCCGGGTCAATGTCAGTTCGGTTTACAAACGGTTTGGATCAAGCCGGTTTGGTTTGAAATGGGTCGGTTTAGGGGCGGATTTACCCGGGTCAATATCGGTTCGGTTTATAAACGGTGCGAATCATGTCGGTTCAGTTTGAAATGGGCCGGTTTAGTAGAGGGTTTACACAGTTCAATTGGTTCGGTTTATGAACGGTTTGGATCATGTCGGTTCGGTTTATAAGCGGTTTGGGTCATGAATTGAATTCATGATTGTTTTAAAGATCGCGTCATGACCATGATTTAATGAGTTGATACTTATAATACGATAAATCGATAATTAAGAATGTACAAGTATTCAATTAGATTGATCAACAAGTGTTTTAAACTTTTAAGTTTTAATGATCAGATATGTAAATAACTAAATATGTTTATCGATTATAGTACATACCAATAATTCAATGAGGCAATGATACTTATGATAGTATGATAATGATACCAACCGTACATTCGTACGATATGATATACATCATATACATAATAATATAATTACATATACATTAACAATATCTTATTGAATCAATTTCCATTTCCAAACATTGCATTTCTTATAAATTATAACTTACACGAGATTAAATGGATTCGTTATTTAGTTTGTTACTTTATTTAGATTACTAACTCAAACAACTTAATAAGTTAAATGGACGAAATCACGAAATCATGACCATGATTTAATGAGTTGATACTTATAATACGATAAATCGATAATTAAGAATGTACAAGTATTCAATTAGATTGATCAACAAGTGTTTTAAACTTTTAAGTTTTAATGATCAGATATGTAAATAACTAAATATGTTTATCGATTAGTACATACCAATAATTCAATGAGGCAATGATACTTATGATAGTATGATAATGATACCAACCGTACATTCGTACGATATGATATACATCATATACATAATAATATAATTACATATACATTAACAATATCTTATTGAATCAATTTCCATTTCCAAACATTGCATTTCTTATAAATTATAACTTACACGAGATTAAATGGATTCGTTATTTAGTTTGTTACTTTATTTAGATTACTAACTCAAATAACTTAATAAGTTAAATGGACGAAATCACGAAATCACTAATTAAAGTGGTGATGAAAGCATTATGCAATACTAATGTTAGTAATGTACGAATAGTCAAATATACAACGGTTAGATTGAATGCCCATGAAAAACAATGGTTAGATTTTCATTACTTTATTAGTTATTAGTATTATTACTTATTAAGTTATTATTAGTTTTATAGTTTATTATATATACTGATATACAATCACAGACTCACAGATGTCAGATATTGTCACATTGATGAGCATTAAGCCATTAACTCATTAAGTCATTAACTATGTCGTATTGAATCAATTTCAATTTTGAAACATTTGCGTTTCTTACAATTTATAACTTATAAGTAATAAACTAATAATAATAATAATAATAATAATAATAATATAATAGTAGTAGTAAACTAGTAATAATAATAATATTAACAAATAATTATACTAACAATAATAATAATAACAATAATAATAATAAATAATTAAAAAAAAACGGTCAAAAAGACCTAGAAAAACACAAAGAAAATCTAGACCGTTAGATCTAGATGAATATTCTAGAATCTACAAAAAAAAAAAAAATGAACGGTTAGATCTAACTTAGATGTTGAGATTGAATATGGAC